AACCTGACCATATCTTGGCCACGCAGCCTGGCCTAATTTTTTAATAGCCTTAGGGTACCTTGGATTGAATATCCAATTGTCAGATTTCCATTATGGGCTGGTTTGACTATGCGTCCTTTTGTATCGTTCAATCATTGATTTGGATAAAATCGGGCTCATATCTTTGGCATGTTTTTATGGCAAGGAGCTCCCTTTCATCATATTAAGGTGATTTTTTTATTTTTTTGCTATTGACCTGTTATTTAATACCATTCACTGAGAAGATTACCTTAGTATTTCTTTTGTAAAGAGAAAGTACGTTATTGAGCTGGATACTTAGGTATTTATTAATGGAAAATTATGGAAGACCATTTGCCTTGGTGCAAGGTCACAACTCCCTGGAACTGTTAAGTGGAACATTGGGTGGCTCAGGGTATTCTAATAATGAGGATCAAATTTTAAAGAAAATTTTTAAACCCCGTGACATTACCCAAGTTATCATATTTCATATATGACTGCTTTGAAGTTGGAAAACTCTAATTGATTATCTCGGCATCAAGATATATAAACATGAAAAAAAAAAAAAAATGATGGGTTTGGGCAAAATTTATGTTAGCTGTCTACCTGACACAATCATGCCATTTTACTTAGGCATGGGATGGATTAAAAGAAAGTTTACAGTCATCCCACCAAAATATGAAAAATAAATAAATAATAAATTTGAGACTAAAAAATAGTGCATCTTGTAGTACATTATCTAGACCGACCATTTTCAAGATTTTTATGTTTATTTAAATTTACTTGATTCGAATAATTTTTTAGTATAAAGTTTTATAATTAGAGATGAACATGGACTCTAAGGCAATCCTTAGAATTTTTTACACCAAAATTATGTCTTTTGGTAAATTTGGTGGTGCATTTTACTTTCATTGTTTAAAATTGCTACCTTAGATAAATCGTGCCCTTATATAAAATATCATTCAAATAACTTACAAATTAGAAATTATGTGATCCACTTGATCATAAACTTAGTGAAAAAATATAAAAAGAAAAAGGCAAAAAAAACATGGACCTATTTGCATGCATGGATATGCTAGATGGGACAGAACGGCTGCCTCCTTTGCAACTTGCAATTTGCTACCACACAAGCAGGTGTAGATATAACTCCATGGTTTGCGAACCCAGTCGTGTTGACTTAGACTCGGCCGGGTTCGTGTCTGAAAATACTGGCTTTCATCTCTCTTTCATCCCTTTTCCTCTACTCTGTCAGTGCATAATTTTAGGGTTTTTTTTGTTTTTTTTTTTAACAACGCATAATTCTACTTTGTTGAGGCTGTCATATGCATATCACATAAATGAGCGTATTTACCTATGTGAACAGTTGAAAGTAGTCTCAAGAGCTCATGATCATATCAGCAGTATAGAGCAGTCTCGAGACAAGTAGGGTTTTCTCTTTATGTTAGGTCCTTGAAAATTAATGGTAAAATTTTTTTTTTTTCTAGAAGTCATTCTCTAAAATATTATTGGTCCGGCACCTCAAATGTTGGACCGACTGACATGTGGCATTTTTTTTTTTTTTTTTTGAGAGAGGAGAGAGTACTCCGAGTGAGACCGACCTCTAGCATGTTTTTTGAGAGAGAGCACTCCAAATATTGGATCAACTTCTAGCATATTTTTGAGAAGAGAGAGAGAGAGAGAGGAAGAGAGATACGAAGGGTGGGGTTTGGGACAACCCTCTCCATTTCGTGTTGCTTTTTTTTTTTTTTTCGAGGCAGTTCCATACTTTGAAGTTTTGAACCGACGCATTCTTTGAAGTGGTGGTCCAAGACTCCGAGTGCTAAATCAACGCCCTGTTAGTGTTTGATCCTCTAGTTGAATGACAGATGAATGGAGAAGTCAATCCCGTAATACAATTGCTAAACCGGCTTGTCGAAAAAAGAAAAAAATATCAGCCAGGCACTTCAGTTAGATCACTTGGGTTTCACTCGGGTTTTTTTTTGAAGGGGCTGTAACCATAAAATATGAAAATAGTGGGATTCGTCTTTAATTTTGAAAAACTAAGATTTAAGATTTTTATGTTAATCACTTTATATTTTATTTAGAGAAACTTTGCAAATTATTCTTCTGGGTTTAATTGTTTAAGATCTTAATTGGTTCCTTTGGCATAGCTTCAACACTTTCTTTTTAAAATTTACGGGCATAGCGAATTATAAATTATTGTATCCCATTTTTGGGATATTTTACTTGAGGTATAAAATTTTTGAGGTTTTTTTTTTATTCTTAATTTGAAAGTTTAACTTTTGAATTATCTAAAACATCAAAAAATTTAATATTTGAGAAGTTCAAAAGTCAATTTTTAAACCTCTAATAAGGAAAAAAAAAAAAGTGTTCGGCTCACAAATTAGACTTTCAGATCACTTGAACACTAATACTATA